GTAAGAAGACCAGACTTAACGGTCTGACTGAGACTGGAGGAACCCCAGAAAGCACAGCCTCCGAATTCTCTATCAGCCCAGAACTAAAACAATTTCCGAGGCCAACTCTTTAGACAGGGATTGGACTGGACTGTGGGACATAAAGTGATACTCGTGAGGGGTGTGCCTCTTAGCTCAAGTAGATACAAGAGACTGAATGGGCAGCTTCTGTCCAGAGGTGAGATGGGAAGGCAGAGAGGGTTAGGAGCTGGTTGAATGGACATGGAGAATCAGGGGTAGAGAGAATGAGTGTGCTGTCACGGTATGGGGAGAGCAATTAGGGTCACATAACAATGTATGTATAAATTTTTGTATGGGAGACTAACTTGAAATGTAAACTTCATCTAAACTACAATAAAAAAAAAAAGAAGCGGTGGCAAAGAAAATAATGATGGCGTGGTGGGATTTCTGGCACACAGAGAAAGTTGAGTGCCTTTGGGCCGAGGTTTACAGGTGGAGTACGGTACCTCTAGGCACTTATTGGTAGAGCTAAAAGAGCTTTGTAACACTTGCTGCAGTAGACGCTGAGGGCCAGAGAGAAGCATGTCTGTGAGCCATGGCTGGGAAGAGGCTGTCCAAATGGAAAAACTGTATCCTGAGCATTCCCGAACTTTAATTGTAATGTTACTTCCTTAATAAACTCCATAATCATGTGTATTGTCTGTGAGTTCTGTGTGGCCATTGCAATGAATTATCGAACCCAGCAAAGAAGTAGAGAGTGTCTTGGGAGGGATGGTTGGTGTCAGAACTGGTAAAGAAGGTGGAAAGAGGAGGCATGTCTAACCTCTGCCTCATTGGAATCAGACTTGTGCTGTTGATCTTGATTCTCCTTCCCCTTTGTGAAATTAGAGGTTAGAGGTCAGACACTGCAGCCACCCCACCCCCCGCCCCCTTCCCACCTCCCCTGCTGTTTTTACAGTTAGCAGAATTCTTTGCAATGGCTCCAGACTCATGGAAGCATGGAACTTTGTAAGAGGAAGAACGAAGGGGCTTGGGAAGTAAAACTTGATTCTTAGATGGTTACTTTGGTTGCTGTTACCTGTAATGGCCGAAAGGAAATTTACATTGCAGCTGAAGAGAGAAAAGCTTGGGGCAAAAGCTAGGTCAGATAAGCAGGATGACTGATAGGGGGCCAGGGTCTACAGGTTCTACCCAGCCAGAGGCCCAAGGCCATATGCATATGAATGGAAGAAGTCAAGGGGTGAAGAACATTCAAATGGAATGTTTTTAAAAAGGGTTATCTGTTTAGCACTATGTGTTTATTTGAATGCACTATGGATATTGAATGTTTCTCCCACCCATTGTTGTAAAGCAGACCTAAATGTTCGATAGAAATGAATATTGAGTATTATAGATTACAGAGAGCATGCAACTCAGCCTTCAGCTAATACTTCACTGGATGTGCTAAAAGGGGAACTAGAATTTGCCTGAAAAAATCTCAGGCTGTTGGTTTGAATGTAGCAGCCCTGTGCATACCTGAACCCCACCAGAGCCCTTTGGGAGCAGGAAATTTGCATTTGAAAAGACATGCAGAATCACCTAGACCTGCTGAGAGAACTGGAGATTTGCATTTGAAGGAAGGACCTGCAGAAAAAAAAAAGTGACTGTTTTGCTGTTTGAATTTTGAGCAAGCATTTGCTTTTGGATGCATCCAGGCAGGAAATGTCAGTGTCCATCAGAAAGAACTCCCTTCCATGACTAGGAAGTTAAAGGAGCTGGAGAGTAGACAGCTTGGTATGCTCGCTTGTGGTGACCACCTGGGTCCACTCATGAGTGTTAGTAGAAGTACAGCAATGAAGAGAGGGATTTTAGACATGTTCCATTGCCACCCACTGACCTAGCCCACCGGGGCTAGGGATGAAAGAGAGAGAGAGAGAGAGGAGGGGCTGGCTGGTCAGAAGTAAAAAGAGTTGCGTGGACTCCTGAATTTATGGGTGGAATCCGGTGATCTAGCCCAAGGGGGCAAGGGATGAGAGAGAGAGAAGGGGCTGTCTCACGTGCCAGGAGGTGTGTATGAACTCTCAAGCTTAAGGCTGCTACCCATTGTAACCTAGCTTGGATGGCTAGGGATGAACTCGACCAAATGAACAGGAAGATGTTTGACACAGTAAACTGGTGTAGATTACTGCAATTTGATGGCTTACTCTGGACTGGACTTTGCTTATGGATGCAGATGCTCAAAGTTCCAACTGGAACAGAAGATTCTTCAAGACCAAGAAACATGCTTGTCTCTTCAGAGTACTGGTTTGACAGGGATGGGCAATTTAAACATTGGCTACCTAAAACGGGGAGATAAAAGCATGAAGTGGCTGGCTTACATGCTTTCGTGAGTGTGCTTACATTAAATGAGGGGGACAAGGGAGGATCCCCACTGAATAATTTCCTCTTTTCCTGATGGGTCTGGGGAAGAGAGGGTAGGGGAAGATGCTGATAGGATTATATGATTCGGTTGTGAGTGTTGTTAACAGGTTAACTGTGATTGTAAAACTGTATTGTAGAAGTTGTAAGTGTGAAAGAGTGGACTAAGGGGGAGGCACTGCTGGACTGGAGTACAGTGGCTGAACCTAAAGTCCCTTAAAGGTTTTGCTATGCTGATACCTCGTGTCTCGTGAGGCTCAGAGCAAGGGAATAATCTTCTTTCAGTTAAATTTTATCAGATACCAGGAAGGGTGAAGCCGAGAAGACTACTAGAGAACCTGACCAGATCAGATGGACACCAGCAGCAGACTTGAGTGGCTGGTACCTGAGTAACCTCACCCTAAGGACTCTTTGCCCTACTGAAGGACTAATTGTTAATGACTGTTTTGGACTAGTAAAATGAGTGGGAAGGGGAAGTTAGCCTCCAAGTGTGAAAGAACCATGGCTAGAAAAGCTAGGGGGTGGCCTGCCGTGCAATGGATCATTTTTGTGTGGCCTTTCTCACCATGGTCTTATAACTCTCAAAACCCAAGTGATTGGGTGGGACTGCCCAAACAGGGTAACTGTGGCCCAACAAGGGGACTGCTCAGTTTTGTCATGCCACTGGGCTTGAAATGAGCCATCCCAGAGGCGGGAAGGAGGAGATTCCACCACCACCAAGGAAGAACAGCCAGGAGCAGAGAGCGCGTCCTTTGGACCCAGGATCCCTGCACTGAGAATCTCCTGGAACCAGGAGACAGAGAGAGAGAAAGCTCTCTCAAGAAGTAGTGGCAGAGAAACGACGGCAGGATATGGCATGGTGGGCTTCCTGGCCCACAGAGCAAGAAAGCTGAGTGCCTTCGGGCAGGAGGCTTGCTGACGAAGCAGGGTGCCTCTGGGCACTTATCGTCAGAGCTAAAAGAACTCTGTAACACTTGCCTGAGCAGGGCAGAGGGGCCAGGGAGAGGCACACCTGCGAGCTCAGCTGAAAAGAAGCTGTCTGATGGAAGAACTGTATCCTGAGTGTTCCTGAACCTGAATCGTAACCTGTTACTTCCCTAATAAACCCCATAACTGTGAGTACTGTCTGAGTTCTATCTGGTCATTGCAATGAATTATCGAACTCAGCAGAGAAGTAGAGAATGCTGTGGGAGGGATAGTTGGTGTCAGAATTGATAAAGATGGCGGAGAGAGGAGGCATGTCTGACCTCAGCCTCACAGGTATCAGCCTTGGGTTGTTGATCTTGATTCTCCTTCCTCCTCCTGAAGTTAAAGGAAGTCAAACACCGCCCCCAAGCTGTTTTTATAGTACATTAGGGTTCACTGTTTGCTCTACTTTTGGGTAAGTTAAAAAGAATTCTATTTTAAAAGAAATTTGTAAAGATCTAGTTTGATGCTCCCCTCCTCTACACACAGATACAGATGGGGAAATAAAGGCCTAGAGTGCCCCAGAGATCAAGTCTGGGTACAAACCTAGGTGTCCTATATCCCAGAGTGACAGGAGCATGCTGTGGTCAAGAGCATGGGCCTCAGACTAATGTAACCCAGAGTCTGAATCCCAACTCTACCACTTACTAGTTGTTTGACCCTGGGCAAGTCACTCCTCATCTCTGAGCCACTTTTCTCACGTGACAAATGGAAGCAACAATAGTCCCTACACTCATCTGGTTTGTGGGAAAATTTAAAGAATTTCCTGTAGTACCTGACAGAGTAATCTGCCCATAAACGATGGTATTTTTCTTAATCACTATTGCCGCTATTATTTTTACTGTTACACCACCACCTTGTCTCATGACTGAGGGCTAGAGGCCAGATACTAAATTTCAGAAGTCCCTAAGAAATCAGCTTCGGAAGAAAGGCCTGGCGATCTACTTCCAAAAAATCAGCCATTGAAAACCCTATGCAGTGCCTGGCTACTACTACCGACCGTTCTGACCAGAGACTCAATAGATGGTCCCGAATAGAATGGGAGAAAAATGCAGAACAAAACTCAAATTCCTTAAAGAAAGAGACTAGAAGAACCCACAAGACTATCGCCCTGAGATACTCTTTAAAGTTGGAACTCAAACCACTCCCAGAGGTCACCTTTCAGCCAAATGACAGAATGGCCCATAAAATATCATCACCCGTGAGTACTGTGCACCTCAAAATAATCGTCTAGATTACACCAAATGGTAAACATTTACCCTAGACCAAAGATGAGAAGCCAAGGGAAGACAAGAAACAGAACAACCAAAACAGAAATAACAAGAATGCTGATACATTGTGAAGAATGTAACCAATGTCACTAAACAATATGTATAGAAATTGTTAAATGAGAACCTAATTTCCTCTGTAAACTTTCACCAAACACACACACACACAAAAAAAAAAAAAAAAAAAACCTATGGAGCACAGTTCTACTCTGACACATACGGGGTGACCCTAAGTTGGAATAGACTTGATGGCAACTGGTTAAAAGACCAGCTAACTCTGCCCCCAACCCCATCTCAGGGGCTACTCCTGACAATTGACACACGCTCAGGGGTAGCCCTAGGCCCTTGAGGGCTGAGGCAGAGACTCACCTACAGCCCGGAAAAGACAGGCGCCGTCCTCCTTCATCTGCTTGATGATGAAGCCCTTCTTGTCTCGCAGGGCCTTTTCAAACCAGTGCTCCTGCTGGAGGAAGAGGTGGGGGGGTCAGCAACAAGGAGGACCTGTACCCCCTCCCAGGAGCCTGCCCTGCAGCTCCTGAGGGGCCCAGCTGATTGACAGAGTACAATGGGCATGGTAAAGCTCTCAGTCCTGCTTGACCACTCCATGCCTGTGGAGGAGGAGACGCCTTATTTTAGGGACTCAGTCTCTGTAGGGGCATAAGACTTGCTCCCAGAGGGGACCCCAGCTGCCCTGAGAGCAGAGACCCTATCTGCAGCCACATTCCCTAGGACAGCCAGAGGCCCAGACCTGGCAAGTGCCTGAGTGGAGAATCTGGTTCTACCTTAAGGAGCTTCACTTCAGGACTCTCTATCTACTTGGCGTCAGGGTGATGTTAAGGAGGGAGTAATTGGCAAGAGCCTACATCCTGAACCCCACATATAGCTAAGGAATTCAAGATATGTTGCATAAGGCAAAAAGTATACAAAGTATGATCCTACTTGCAATTAAACACATTTAACAGGTGTGTATGTGTTTATATGCATACCAAAACCAAACCAGTTGGTGTTGAGTCGATTCCAACTCATAGCGACCCTAGACAACGGAGTAGAACTACCCCATAGGGTTTCCAGGGAGCAACTGGTGAATTCGAACTGCCGACCTTTTGTTTAGCAGCCAAGCTCTTAATCACTGCGCCACCAGGGCTCCGTTTATATATATACATATACACAAACACACACAAAATTGGGAAGGCTATACAACAATATATTACCCCTAACTGTTGGTATTACAGGTGATTTTACTCCACCTCCTTCTTTGTAAGGTATACAATCCCTCATCTAAAATTACAAAACCCAAAAAGCTCTGAAAACAAAAGTCTTTTAACTCATTTGGCATTATAACCTGACCTAAACTGACAAGAATCTATCTATTCCATTTGGGGGTGGATAGTCAAACATTTCAATGCAGATATATTAAAGTGTTTGATTACGAGATGCTGTCCCAGACCCCAATAAAGGTGTTACATAATACACAGCATACACATCAGCTGACTTTCCTAAATTCTGAAATTTTTTCTAAATTCCAAAGCCCACCTGGCCCCAAAGGTTTGAGATAAATGAACTTGTGCGCATGTGTATTTTCAGATGTCTTAAAAAAAAAATAATGACCTGACCATGGATCACTTGAAACATATTTTCCATTTCAAAATAAAACAAGAAGCGATAGACTTTTCCCAGGCCCCTCACGCCCTCTGCTGGCCACTAGAAGCAGCCAGCCTGATCCTGCATCAGGGCTGAGGACTACAGGTTCCCAAACCTGCTCCTTGGGGACACCACCCTGCCCAGGGATTTATAGGATCCAGGCTAATGCCGACCAAACAGAAGGAATCACCTGCAAGGCAAGCCCCCTACTCCTGGGCAAAGTTGGAAGCAAAAGCTTTGGAGGCTGAGAATTCTGGGTTCCAACCCCAGCTCTGCCACTCACTGGCTGCATGATTTCAGGTAAGTTGTCTAAACTCCCCAAGCCTCAGCTTCCTATCAAACGGGGATATATGATCTACTTGACAGAGCTGTCAAGAAGTTCAGAAGAGTTTCAGGACCTGAAGAGGCTTTGTAAATAATGTACCATACACTGGAAAGGTGGTCACCAGTCACAGAAGAAAGGGAGAGACTGACACAGACAGAGATAATGTACAACTATGAGACCCTCAGAAAGTTCCGGGTAAGTGGCTGGACAAGAGGGGATGAAAAGGGGGAGACAAGAGAATATCCAACCAGCCCTACCATCAGGGCCAACACCCTAGGAAGGTGTGGCTGGCTTTCCAGAGATGACAAAGGTATTTGGCAGTCCTTTAATGGGCTTCCATGGGCAGCGCAAAGACTCCTGATTTGTGCACAACATTCCAGCAGTCCAGGTGCCCCTCCGCCCTGGAGGCTGTGGGCTAGCACACTCCAGTCAGCTGCCACCAAGTCCATCCCCACCCCCTGCAGGTTCAGCCATCTCTTAGCACCACAGGGTCTGCCCCAGTCAATTTTCCAAACCCACCTGGGATGGCCTTCCCCAGATAGCAGAGGTTTCCAACAGGGAGGTTTGCAACTAAAATTGTAGTCCCAGACCTGACAGAAGGAAAAGTTCTAAAAAAAAAAGAAGAAGGGAACACAGCAACCTCCTGCCCCCAGGTGTGGAGGGAAAGGAGCTAGAGAGGGGAAAGGGAAATCAAAGAAGAGGAGAGCAGCTACTGAGTTAGGCCCTGGGGTGGGCAATGAGGACAGAGAAAGGAATCAGACTTGGTCTCCACCCTCAATAAGCTCACAAACTGGTAGGAGAGGTGCAGGGAAAGAGCAACAACCACACATAGTGTGAACAGGCCATAAACGAGGTGAATACAGGGGTGCAATGAAACACAGGGGAAGGGACCTGACCCAGCCATTAGAGCTGGCACCTCAGAGGAGGTGCCACCTGAGCAAAGGATTAAAACACCAAGAGCTCAACAAATGCTTATTAACCGGATAAAAAATGAAGTCACTTCTGCCACAAAGCACTAGGGATGCCCTGGGCCCAGCCAGGTTAAAGCTCTGGGTAGGACCAGGCAAGTAAGCAGGGCACTGCGAAGAAGAAAGATGAGCTCATACTAGCTGAATACCTGTACCACGCCAGGTAATAGATGCAAACAGTGACCTCATTTAATTGTCCTTACCACAGCTCCAGGTAGCAGAAAGCATTATCCTCATTTTACAAAGGCAGAAAGAAGCTTGGGCTTGGACACCAGCAAAGCCTGGTCCAGAGTCAGCAGGGGAGGGCCCATGAGCAGCTGGCTGGAGACACTGTAGCCCATCCTGGGTAAAGCCTGGTGTGTCCTTAAAAATGAAGCAGGCCAGAGTACAGCCCTCGCACGAGTGGGGTTTGGGTCCTTGGGCAGCGAGATTGGTATCTGGGCCTGGATCCGGAGGCCAGACCCCTAGCCACCTTTGGCACCAGCAGCCTGAAGTTTGGGCTCTGGTTGAAATCTCTTCTCTCTCTCCCTTGGGGGAGAAAAAATAGGGAGGTCTGGTCCTGGGCCCCAGAAAGGATTCAGGGAGTCTCCAGGAGCTCCTAGCCCAGTCTCCCCCGTCCCCAAACTGGACTGGTAACTCCCAACAGGAGCCTCCAAGAAGGATGCTGACTTAGGAGTTGTTTAGGAAAATGGTCCAGGAAGGGAGGGCTAGCCCAGCTACAGATAAGTTTAAGCTACATCGATGCCCTGGCCTGATAAAGTCAAGTCCAGGCCCTGAATCTTGCAAGCACACTGCTGAGCCTGGACGCAATCCTTCACATCTCTGAGCCTACACAAAAGGCTAGTGAAAGCTCTCTAACAGCAGGGGATCCCAGGGGCTGAGGCTAGACCCTGCGGCCTACCCATCCAAAAGCCCAGGTGAAGGCAGAGCAGGCTGTGGGATTCGACAGACTTAGATTCCAATCCTAGCCATGTGATAAACTGCTCTGAGCCAGTTTCCCAATCTGTGAAATGGGATAACAAGCCTCCCAATAATAGGAATATTGGCCAGACTCAAACATTACAGGGCTTTGTCCAGTAAGAGAACACTTAATGAGTTCCCTTCCTCTCCCTGGAAGGGAACAAGAACATCCCTGTAGCAGGCTGAATGAGGGCCACCCAAAAATATCAGGTCCTAATCCCTGGAACCTGTAAATGTTACTGTATAAGGAAAAAGGGGCCTTTGCAAATGTGATTAAATTAAGGATCTTGAGATGAGGCAATTATCCTGGATTATCGGGGTGGGCCCTAAACGCAATCACAAGTGTCATTATAAGAGAAAGGCAGAGGGAAAACTGGTACAGACAGAAGAGGAAATACACTCACAGAGAACGTAATGGGAAGACAGAGGCAGAGACTGGAGTAATGAGGCCACAAACCAAGGAATGCTGGCAGTCACCAGAAGCTGGAAGAGGCAAGGAACAAATTCTCCTCTAGAGCCTCTGGAGGGGCACCTTGATTTCAGCCCAGTGAAACTGACTCTGGACTTCTGGCTTCCAGAAAAGTGAGAGAATAAATTTCTGTTGTTTTAAACCACCCAGTTTGCAGTAATTTGTCACAGCAGCCATAGAAAACTAATACAAACCCCTTGTAGCACTTACTAGTGTCTGAGCTCTCAGGCCTGGTGGCTGTGAGGCAACGTGGCAAGTCTCCCATCCTGCAGAATCTATCTCCCTAGCATCTCCCCAGGGAGAAGGGCAAAATTAAGGCAGCAGGGGCTTGGAATCCTCAGCCTGGAAAGCTGCAGATCCTGCCTATGGATGAATGAGCTGTCACTGAATGGGAGACGGGTTAGAGGAAGGTGGCGGCAGCAGTGGCAGCTTGTGTACAAATGTCTTCCTAGAGCCCGTGGCCAAGAGGTGCTTAGTATTCTGGGCCTCACAGTTCTGTCCCAGCAACCCTGGTGCCAAGACCACTTCTCTCCCTACAAACACTGGTTGGGTTCCACAGGCCAAGCACAAGCAACCCATTCAATGAGAAACACACACAGATGCACTGCTTTCTGCAGACCAATCCAAGCCCTCCAGGGCAAAGGAATGAGAAGAGAAGTGCAAGGCCCCATATCTATTGCTGGGCCATTGAGGGGAGGGGGATTAAAATCCCAAGGTCCTATTATCGGTCAAGAAAAAGAAATGAATTACTGATACATGCTACAACATGAATGAACCTTGAAAACACGCTAAATCAGAGAAGCCAAGTCACTAAGGCCCACGTTACACGACTCCATCCATGTAAAATGTCCAGAATAGACAAATCAATAGAGACAGAAAGTAGATTAGTGGTTTTCAGGGGCTGGGAGGAGGTGAAGGGTTTGGAGGATGATGGCTAATGGGTGTGGGGTTTCTTTTTGGGATGATGAAAGTATTCTAAAATTGACTGTGGCAATGGATGCACAACTCTGTGAATATACCAAAAGCCAGTGAATTGTACACTTTACATGGATGAATTGTATAGTATGTAAATTATATCGCAATAAAGCTGTTAAAATAGAAATTTTAAAAACCCAAGGGCCTAACATCTTGATCGAACATTCTACAGAAGAATTCTGATAAAAAGGGCGAACCATGCATAACAGAATTTCAAATTCTCATGGAATCCAGACATTCTGGAGCCACAGAGGAGGGAAACTATTGCCCTGAGACAATCTTTAAACCTTAAACCAAAAATACCCCTGAAGTCTTCCTTAAACCAAACAATAGTTTAGCTTAGTTAGTAAAGAATTTCTGCCTTGAGCATTGTGCTCTTTCAAAGAACTATCTATAGGAGGAGCTCAAGCGGACAACAGCAACTAAAAGGTTAGAGAAGAAAGTTAGAAAGCAGTGAGTTCATGTTAACGGTGGAGGAATAATTCAGAAAAGAGTGAGAATGGCTGCACAACTTGAAAAATGTAGATCAATGTCACTGAATTGTATGTGCAGAAATTGTTAAATTGGTGTATGCTCTATTGTGTATATTCTGAACAACAACAACGAAAGTAAAATTATAAATTAAAAAAAAAAAACAACCAAGGACCTATAGACCAGCCAGGGTGAAGGAGGCTGAATTACTTCTTGAAACTTCAAAGCACAGTCCTAAAAAGTAGCACATCCCAAGTCAAAGGGTCCCACTTACAACTTTTGTGGGTGGGGCGGGGGAGAGCATGGTGGGGAGCAGAAAATTAAAGAAGAGATTAGGACTTCCTTCAAAGCTGGATGGGTCACTAGAGCAATAAGTCTAACCTCCCTCCTCATGCCTATTCATTTTATGGACAGAGAAACTGAGGCCCAGAAAAGGGAACTGTCCAAAAACCACACAAAAGGTTAGTGCAGAAACAGAACTCAAAACCCAGGTTGCCTGGGCAGAGATCACTTTCTGCTATACAACTCTGCCTCCCCACCAGCTAGCTACTCAATTCCAGAAGGGGTAAGAAGAGTCCAAGGGATCTACAGGTTTCTAGATGCCAAATGATGGGTCTTTACTACCAGAGACGGGTTATGAAGGGTGGGCAAAGGCTCCTAGGATGAACTATGATGATCCTGGGACAAACTGCCCATCCTGGGCAAGAGGAAGAACCAGCCAAGGTCCGCGGTGAGCAACGTCAAGTATTTACACACTCAATAACCCTGGGCATGGGTTGACTTTTGCAGGAAAGGCAGACAAGAGGGGAAGTAGTTTGTCTAAAGCCATAAAGCAGCTAAGCAGGAGACACTGGGGTCTGAACTCAGGCCTGCCCAGCTCCAAAGCCCAAACTCTTTCCACACACAACCCTACCTCCACACCATCCAACAGGCCTCGAGAGGCAATACCATGAGCTTATTAACCATAGCACAGCTGGCCACAAAAATCACTGTCCATCAACCCTGAGCCTCACACCAAATAGGCCACTTGTCCTGCCCACCAAGCCTGGATGCCTGGGAGGGAACAGAGGGGCAGGGAAGAGAGGGGAAGAACTCAGTTCTTCCTCAAGACACCCACCATTCTCTGTCACTTCCAGGTCCAGAGAGCTTTGGAGTGAGGTCCCTAAAATCTCAAAGCCAAGTGACACCTCACCAGTCCCTTATCTGACCAATGAGGAAACTGAGGCCCAGAGAGTGTAAGTAGGACCTATTCTGGTTCAGCCAGCAAAGACCTGACAGCCAGAGCTGGAAACCAGGCATCCTGGCAACAATGACAGGTCCAGCTTCTTCAACTAATGGCCCACCTCAGCATGTGTGCCCCCTCTCAAAGAGTTCTGTGGGGTACTCAAGCTCAGGACGCTTACAAGTCATCCTTTCCACAGGGTAGATGCAGCAAGGCAGTCACATCTGGGAAAGGAAACCCCTAAAATCACTACCACCCCAGCACCTCAACCTCAGGATACCAAAAGGGCCCCTAAAAAGGAGTAGGGGTACATTCACAGCATCGGGACAAACAGGAAGCCTAAGCAGTCAGAACAGGGACCACATTCACCATTCTAACTTCCCCGCAACAATTCTCCTCTTTCCCAAGGGATCCAATTGGCCTCCAGGCTACAAACGCCCTCAGTGACAGTTTAGGACCAAAACTAGGGTGGCAAGAAGAATCTCCCCTCTTCTCATCCCTAGAAGGTCCCAAGTTAGACCAGTTGAGGCAGAAGAGGGGCATCTTCTTCTCTGCCCAAAAAGTGGGAGGACAGGAAATCTCTCCCCTGTCATTGGGAAGGGAAGGTTTCATGAGTCCACAGTTTTTACGGAGAAAAGTATAAGGGAGCGACTCCATCCTAGGAGATGCAACGGAGGTATAAGGAGGTGTTTTTCTAGTCACCATGACAGCACAGAACCTTCTTCCTCTCTGTTCCTGGGACCTGGGGTGCACCACTCCCTATTTCTTTCAGGGAAGAAAGGCAGACTTTACCCCAACCAGAGAAAGAAACAACTCCTGGTCCTGATCCTGTGGGTCCAAATAAATTATCTTGCCAGAAGTAATGAATGATAAGTGGGAAGGGAACAAGGACAGGGGACTCAAGACAAGGCCCTGGTCCCTATAAAGTACAGAGTTAGCTGAGCCAAAGGAGAGTGGAATGTGGGCAGAAAATTTCCCTAAGTGGGGATGTTCTAAACCCCTTCCCTGTCTCTGGGAAGAAAAAAGCTTGTCAAAAAGCAGTTTGGGATGATTAGAGTATTTCCCTGACCCTGGAGGTGGGAAGCCAAGTATAGCTGGGTCAGGTACAGATTCAGAATATCTCCCAGTTCCTGAGGTCTCAGGCTTGAGGGGTAGAAGATTCTTATGACCGTGAAGGGGCACTCAGGTCCTTCTGTCCAATGGGGAAGGCCTCAGGTCACACTAGGGAGGACCTCATGTCCCTCTCCCTGGCAAAAAAGCATCGCCTAGTGGGGAGGGGCTCATACCCAAGGAAGGCTCAGGCTCCAGCCCCTAAGGGGAAGGATCTCTTGTCCCTGAGAGGAAGCTCAGGCCCCTGTGAAGAGGCTCAGACTCTTTTCCTTAGAACCCAGAATCCCACTCTATCCATGTCCCCAAGGGGAGTGGGGAGTTCTCAGAACTCACTTCACAAGTGGGGTGGGGGTGTCTTAGGCCCAAGTCCCCAAAACAGGAAATTTTATGTCCCTAAAAGACCCCTATTACTGGAATATATTTTGTCTGAGGTGAGGTGACATACTCTCAGGGCATGCTCAGGTCTCAAGGTGGGGGAGAGTTGTCTCATGCACCTGAGGGAAAGTTCACACCCTTGAGGGAGAAACTCAGGCCCCCCGTTTCCTTAGGGACCCTGTATCCACACCTCAAGGGGAGGGTGTCAGGGCTCAGTTCTGGTGGGCGGAGTCCTCCTGTTCCTGAGGGGTACCTCAAGTTCCTTGAGGAAGAAGCTCAGACCTCAACTCTAGAGACACCCCATCATTAGGGTAGGTATAAGTCTCCCGTTCCTGAAGGAAAGCGCAAATCTCAGTGGGTGGGTCTCAGGCCTTTGACCCTAAAATAAGGGGGACTTAGGCCCTTGAAGATTCACGGGGAAGCCTCAGACACCATCCCTGGGACCCCATGCTGCCCATGTCCCCTGAGGAGTGGCCTCAGGTTCGAGTTCCCAAGGCAGGGATCTTCTCTCCCTGACAAAAAGCTCAGGCCCTTTGGAGAGGGAACCTCAGATCCCTGCTACTGGGGGGGGGGGTTATATCACTATGGTGTGTGTCAGTCCCTTACAATTGGGGTAAAAGAGTCTCATAACCTCATGTAGACACCGATCCCTGAAGCAAAAGGTTCCCTGAAAACCTCTGCCTAGGACCTCTGCTGGGGGTATCAGGCCCCCGAAGAAGCCTCAGACCCAGGCTTTGAAAACACCCATCCACAAGCAGGGAGGTCTTAGGCTCCAGTATTCAAAGCAATGAGTCTTATTTTCTTAAAGAAAAGCTCAGGCTCTTGGTGGGAGGCTGGAGTAGAGGGGAAGGAGGATCCATCACTTAGAAGCTTAAGCTCCTGGAAAGACTCAGACCCTTGTCCCCAAGGAGGAAGGTCTCAGGCCACTGAGGGGAAGCATAGACCCTTGTCACTCAGAGGGGATGAGTCTTATGTACCTGAGTCGACTCTCTGGTCCCTGGGGGTAGGTTTTGGTCCTTGTCCCCAAGGGGAAAGGGACCTTATCTCCCTGAGGGAAACCTCAGATGCCTATCTCTAAAGGGTATGTATATGTGCATGTCAGACTCTCGATTCTAGAAGTCTCAGACCCCTAAACTCAGGCTTAGGACCCTTGAAGTGGTCTCAAACCCCACTGCTTGGTGAGCCTGTGCCTCATTCCCCTGCAGAGGGGAACTTGGTCCATGCAGTGTCTCAGGCCCCTTAAAGGGTTTAGATCCCTTGGAGACACTCAGAACCTAGTTCTGAGGTCTCCACCCTATTTGGGTTCCCCGGAGAGGGAAGTAGGAGCACTGGTGGCACAGTGGTTAAGCGCTCGACTGCTAACCAAAAGGTTAGTGGTTCGAACCCACTAGCCAGTCCACAGGAGAAAAGATATGACAGACAGTCTGCTCCTGTAAAGATTTACAGCCTTGGAAACCCTACGGGGCAGTTCTACTCGGTCCTGTAGGGTCACTATGAGTCAGAATCGACTCAATGGCAGTGGGTTGGGAGGGGGAGTTTCAAGCTCCTATCCCAGAGGCAAGGGGATCTCAAGCCCCTGAACACAGACCTAAGTTCCCATCTCCAGAGATGCTCCATCCTACCTGTCTCTCCTGGGGAAAGGGGGTTCCCACCTATAGGCCCTACATGATGAGGTCCCTGGCTGCATAATTGTAACTACGGACCCTAGGAGAGGCCTCAGATCCCATCTTTCTCACATCTTATCTGGGGCCTCTGAGTCCCGGTGGAAAGGTGTCTCATGCCCCTACTACCAGAGAAACGAGTGTCAGGCCCTGAGATAAGGCTTAAGCCCCTTGGCATTTTATCAAACTAGCATTCCTCGCGTCTCTACCCAGTCTGGGGATCCCACCCACCATACCACCCACCTCTTGCCTCCTAGCCCTTACCTGCTCAACGGTGGCAGGGTCCATGGCCTCGATACGTGCTGCGGCCGCTTCATACTCATCCTCACTGTTGTAGCCTGCGCCGACCTCCTCACGCTCAGGACTACCTCCGCCAACCGCCCCAACCCCAGGGGCTTGACGCCGCCGCTTGCTGTGCCCCGGCCCGGAGCAGCAGCTGCCCACGCCTACAGCACCGCCCACGCCCACCACCACGCCCGCCGCACCCACGCCCGCTGCCGCTGCTCCCAGCGCGTCGCCGGGACCACCACCGGGACCTCCCGGGCCTCCGCATGGAGGTGGAGAGGCCTGTTGCGGCCGAGGACCCGCCACAGCGCCGGGCGGCACGGCCAGCGCCCAACGGTGAAGCGCACCTGGCGGTCCCGGTAACGGACCCTGAGGCGGTGGCGAGGCCCGGGGACGAGCCCCCACTACGCCTGAGTCACGATCACGGTCGCCGCCGCCCACGCCCGT